AAGACATCACGATTGGCGCATAGAAAGTCGACGAGCTCGCATTCCTATTTGGTCGGGAGCCGAGTCCCGATCCACACCATCTTGGTTGGATCAGTGGGGTCGATCCCCACTGCCTTAGTCTCCTCGAGTGGGCGGAAGGCAGTCAAAGAGGTTGGCTTGTTGCAGTCTAGGACTGCTGGGGTTGACAACTCCCTGAGCCGTAGGAGCTTGGAAGAGTTGATGATGGCAGTGGTGAGCTCATAATGCTCGTGGTCGCACATGAATGTGTGCAAGAAGGTGCTACCCATAGTGATGATGCCGTTCAGTCCCGGCATCTTCAACTTTAGGTAGGTGTAGTTGGGGACCACCATAAACTTAGCATAGCATGGCGGCGCCAAGATGGTGTGGTAAGACCCCCAGGAAGTCCACCACCTCAAAGGTAAGCACCTCTAAGCAGAAGTTGGCTCGGTCACCGAATGTGACGGCTAGGTCGATCTGCCCGAGCGGGTATGCCTACGCTCCTAGGATCACGCCATGGAAGGGAGAGCTCATCGGGTGGAGCTCCGACCGGGGGATGCGCGTGACGTCAAGGGTGTCGACGTAGAGGATGTTGAGGCCGTTGCCTCCATCCATCAGCACCTTGGTGAGGTGCTTCTAGCGGACAATGGGGTCGACGATGAGCGGGTAGCGTCCCGGTCTGGCGATGTGGGATGGATGGTCCCTTTGATCAAAAGTGATTGGAGATTCCGACCAGCGAAGGAAGAAGGGGATGGCCATTTCGGTGATGCACGCCTCTCAGTAGCGCACTTTGTGTTGGCGCTTGGAGTAGACGGCATCGGTTCCCCCGAAGATCAAGATGCATTCCTCAGGCTTGGGAAGCCATCCCCATCCTTGCCCACCATGCCTCCTTTCTTGGCTGCTGCCTCCTTGCCTTTTCCTTCTTTCGACCCACCGGCCTGTCGTAGGAAACGCTTGAGGAGCTCACAGTCCTTGTAGAGGTGCTTAACAGGGTAGGCATGGTTGGTGCATGGGCTATCCTTGAGTTTGTCGAAGTGGTTAGACAGGCCCTGTTGGGGCTGCTTGCCCGCGCGATCGGCTGCGGTGACCAACGCGGTGTTGGCCGGTCGGTGCAGATCCTTCTTGTTCTTCTTTGCCCTCTCTATGGAGGGGCCCTCATCTTGGCCCTCGCGCTTGGCCTTGCCCTTGTCCCGGCCTTCATTGAATACTGCTTCAACAGCCTCCTCGCCGAAGGCATGGTTCATTGCGACGTCGAGCAGGTCGTGGGTGGTACAGGGCTTTAGGCAGCCAAGATTGTGGATCAGGGACTCACAGGTTGTCCGCGTCGGTGACATCAGGAACAGAGTTGCACCGCTTCAAGAACCTCTGGATGTAATCCCGCAGGGACTCATTGGGCTCCTACTGGCAGCTCTTGAGGTCCTAGGAGTTTCCAGGGCGGACATCCGTCCAGTCGACGGGTGCTGTCGTGCAGGAGGAATTAGAGCCATGCTCGAACATGTTCCCCCACACAGATGGGGAGGTACTGAATGATGAAGTGATCATCATCCATTCCCCCGGCTCGGCAGGCTAGCTAGAAGTCTTTGAGCCATATACCGGGATTCATCTCCCCGATATATTTGGCGATGTTGGTCGGTGGTCGGAAGCGTTGTGGGAACGGCGCTCTCTGGATGCGCCGGGCAAAGGTCCGTGGTCCTAGGCCATCCGGGCTGGGACTCCGGTCGTTGCGTCGGTCACCATGCCTAGGGTGCGTTTCACCAGTCCCCTCGATGGTCTGGCCGGAGCCCATGTCATCTGCTCTCACCGCCGCCCGATGGACATCATCATCATGCCAGGCCCGACGCCGGTTGCTGATGACACTGCGAGCATCTTGGTTCGGAACAAGGTGTTCGCACACATGCGGTCGGTGTGGAGCGGGTGCCGGGTCAGGCTATGGCGCAACTGTGCCCTCATGTTCCGTGCCCGGTGGCTGTAGAGGCGAGCGGATGGAGCGATGTGTATGATGCATCCCCGCTCCCCTGGTGGGGAGAAAGGTCACGAGTCGGTGGTGCGACACGGAGCTTTCCGCCTGTTGAACGGCGATGGTGTCCACCAGTGCCCGGAGGTTCTGGTGGATCGCCTATTCCTAGGAGTTGTCTGGCTCGGGAAGGCCGCGCAGAAGCATCGCTGCGGCGGTGATGTTCTGGCCAGCCCGAGCGAACTGTGGGGGATCGTTCCCCTCGTCCATGATGTTGCGTTGGACCTGGCGGGCATGACCCCGGGCGTCGCTCGTCGGGTTATGCGCACAGGGCGCATCGTGGTGTGCCGAGCGCGCCGGCGCAAGTGGTAGCTGGTTCTGTCGCCTTTGTCATAGCTCCTCGCCGTGCTCCTGGGCACATGCGAGGGCATCCGCTCGAGGGTCCGGATGGATGTGGGTCTGAAGAGACTCCGCCACCACCGGCGGCTGTCCTGGAGCATCCGCCATAGCGCACTAGCGGGATAGAGGGTGGCTAGGTGCCACGACGTCGCCGATGCTGGAGCCATCGCTCTCATCATCATCATCATCCATGAGGTCGTGAGAAGAGGCAGGAGCGTAGCTCACCATCCCCACAAATTCAGATGTGAGAGGGGGCGGCGCTAACATCCTTCGGAGCCCCTGGGCGTACGCGTCTATAGGGGATGCGAGGCCGTAGGGGAACCGGTCGCATGGCGGTCGCGGTAGTGACAACGGGGTCCCTCTGGAGAATCGGCGAAAGACAGTAAATAGTGAGTAAATAACAAAGCGTACGTTACTTATAGTTGGGTTTTAGCCCTGCGCGGGCTCAGAGTGAAGCACAGGCGCCTCGTTGTTGAAGTCGCCGGGAGTCCTAGAGCCAACGGAGGACACGCCTCCTCCGACGGGCGCTGGAACAAGTACCTCGCGGAGGTGCAGCACGTCGAGCTAGTCGGCGACGAAGTCCAGGCTTCTGAAGAGAAAGGCCTGGGATGGCTCGAAGATGGGTGGAACCCACATCCCAACAGGTGGGAGTGTGGGAAACTCCAGCGAGTCAAAGCGAGTCGTATCGCTTGAGCCCGCCATGGCGAAGGTGACAGAAAGGTTGGCCATCCGATGAAGGAAGCCTCATATCCCAGAGGCATGTGGGGGGTCCTACCATGTTTGCCTGGTATGGGGATTGATGGCGCCCATAACACTGTAGGGCAAAATATCGGCGCCCACAACACTGCTCGGGTTCTAACATGCCTAGAAGGTTGCAGGGCACCCTTCTGACTTGTCATGTCGGTACTGCAGGTGTACAGGGTACGGTCCTTGGTATTGCGGTTGACTTAAGCGCCCTACCTTTCTTGTTCCGTCCGTTTCCTGGGTCCTCACCGAGCGGGCGTCCCCGGTCGGTTGGTCCCAGTCGGCACCGACTATGCTAGTTGGAGAAGAGCTATAAGCAGAGGTTTGGTGCATCCTCAGTCGGAGAGGCGGGTCAGAGTTGGAAGCGGCGTTTCGCCAGGCCTTCCGATCGGAGAGGTGGGCCAGAGTCAGAAGCGAGCGTTGTTCCTCCTCGGCCAGGTCTTCTGATTGAAGAGGCGGGCCAGAGTCGAAAGCGGGCGCCTTCCGGTCGAAGAGGCAGGCCAGAGTCAGAAGCGGGCGCCGTTCCTTCTAGCCAGGCCTTCCGATCGGAGATTGGATCGCCCTTCTAGCCTATCGTTAGGTATTTGTGCTGGCCCAGGAGTTGCGAGTCGTTCGCAACGTCGTCTGCCAGGGCGAGCTTTTGCTGGGAAGCAGGTCCATGAGGAACCCGGGTTGATGAACCCGACACTATTATATATACTTTGTGCTCCTAATCTCTCATGACTATAAAAAATACTAAAATGATGGATAGCGACAATCGGCCTTCGGGTCGTCAGTCTACCTGCATGCGATACCGCAATTCCACCCGGCCTTTCGCTAGCTCCCCTGCTTCCCCTTCGCACCTCGCATCCTCTCCCTGCCCCCACAATCAGCACTTTGCAAGAAGGAAGCCCCATATTTGTCTCCAAGCACCACCATCGCCCTCGAGCCTCACTCGTATGCCGTCGTCGCGCGTCATCCCGACTGTACGTCGCCCCATTGTGACCCCCACCCCTCACTCCATCACTGATCCACGCCAGTGCCCAGGAGTCAACGTGCTCAGGGACCTTAGGGTTCGTGAGGATAGCCTTCTCTTGTCTTTGTGCTTGAGGGCAAGATCTTGAGGAGCGGTGGCGTCGGATCAACCTTCTCTCGGCTCTGTGCTCTAGGGCAACCCAGGCCGGCGTGTGGTCTGGTACCTTCCTCATGCCAGCGGCCGAGCCCCTGATCTCGTGCCGCCTGCGGCGCCGGCCAAGCGGGAGGCAGACACGCCTCTGCCCGTGGTTGGCCTCAGGTCGAGGCGGCACGCAAGGTGCCGCTTGCCACACAGATGGAGGCGGCGCTAGTGTAGGTTTGGGCATCCAGCATCGATGCTATGCCGTACGCCGACTTCCTACGCCTCTGCTGTGACGCCGCCAGGCCAAACGCGAGCCCCTTCGTTGTGCAGATGAGCTGAATGAAGGCTGCTCCATCGCACGCGCGCTCGACGAGTCCGGATCCATCACCTTGCTCGGTAAGACCTTCCTCATGCCCGATTTGGTATGATTGTCACCCCCGTGTTCTTATCTACCATTTGGCCCCGCGGATGCAGAGTTAGTGGTTGGATGCAGCAAACACATGCTCATTGAAATCACTCCATGGCCTGCTGGCAGCTTTCGTTGTTTCACCTAGGTAAGCAGAAGTCGCATTAAGCTACTTTCAGTAGTTGGTTAGAATGAGTGATTCAGAAAGTGATTTTGTTCTCTATGTTTTTTTACATTCCACTTAAATATTAATTGTTGTAGTCTCCTAATTACAAATGGTTACTTATTTCATGAAAAGAAAGTAAGTTAATTCCCTTACATATATTATTGTTATGCTTTATTCATGAATCATGTTTCACTGTTTGATTAGTTCTTCAATTAAATCGAACATCTCAGTTCTGACAATGGAGTGGGAGGTGCAAGGGTTGTCCTCTTTTGCCGGTGAAATCCAACAATTCAAAATCACACTGTGAGGACCCATTGATTTCATTGCCCGGTTATTTGATTAATTTATTTTTTACTACCATTCTCCTTTAAACTTGTAATTTGAACTTCATGGTTTTGCAGGATTGAGATGCTACTGAATTCAGACCATGTTCGGAAGTGCCAAAATTGATGGAAAGTCTAATCAAGCATCGCTTTATTTTCTGGTGCCTTTGCACTAGGCCAGAGGATGCTGATGAATGAACTACATCTCATGAAAGAAATTTCAAGTTCATTTTTTTGAACAGAGATAGCATGATGTGTCTTCCTCTGAGGGCCCCTCGGCCATGTAGATGGTCTTCAGCATCCAAGAGGAGGAGCTCTGGATTGATAGCCGGTTGGATGGCATGATGCGCCTTTAGCTGAGCCCCCTGCGTGCCTCCATCTCTGTGCTCCCAGTCCCATCACCGATCTAGTATACTGTTTTATAATGCTTCATATCAATATATTGTTGTTTTTAATGCTTCAACTTTAGATGATTCATATCAGCATATTGTTGTTTTAGTTTTGGGCATAGAAGTTTGGGTCGTATTTTCTCCACTATATTCTATAACTCACAAAGCTTTTAAGTAAAACTATCATTTACTTATATGACAATATGAGCCTATATTGTAGTACTATGAACAGCCTTTTAAGAATGATCTTTATCACTGTTGGTGCATATTTTGCTTATTTCATTTTATTTTTATGGTACTTATTCCATAGTATACACATCTGTGATCAGATCATTAGCAGATCCTTGATTTCACATTCTTCAATAACCGTTGCAGCCAGAGGATTGGGATGATGAGGAAGATGGTGAGAATGGACAGCCCCAACCATTCCTAACCCAGAGTACAAAGGACCATGGAAGCAAAAAGGTATGAACATGACTAAGTGACTAAATTATGCTGGACAAGCTGCAGTGACATTGAGTTGATCATTGTGTTGTTCAGAAAATCAATAACCCTGACTACAAGGGCAAGTGGAAGGCCCCTTTGATTGACAACCCAGATATATTTACTTTCAATTTTGAGCAGAGGCAATTTCACCTGAGGCTAACCCTGCTGTCCATTTCAACTTTTATGCTTATTTTAAAAGTTCATATGCATTTGTTTATTGATGTGTGCAGAATTCAAGGACGATGCTTACATCTATGCTTTTGATAGTTTGAAGCACAATGGATTATTGATTTACTCTATGAACATAATGACTTTCTTAGTTATGTTGTTTGATGCCTCACTAATTTTCATTCTCTATCAGGAACTTTGTTCGACAACATTTTGATAACTGACGACCCTCTCATCTGAAGCAAAATCAAATGTACTCAGTTCTGTATTAACCTGCAATGTGGCTGTAAGCACACCTAAGGGCGGCAGCGACCAGTGCGGGTGCAGCACAATGAGTGCTGATTTTTGCTCCTTGTTGATGGTACAATGGGTCATGCCCATCATGTTTCATAGGGATGGTTCTTGTGATAGTTATACAAGTTTTTTTATGGTAAGTTTTATGGATTATTTTACTCTCTTACTGTAGGGATAATAATTTGGTCATCATAGAATGGAAGTTTGACCACCTTTAAAATTAACTGACAAAAGTTGTATTTTTGTTTTCACTAAGGTTGCATATATTAATCTTTGGTTAATTAGATTCTTATAATAAGTATATATTTGCTTGAGCTGTTGAGGAAGAATTAGAAACCTTTGCTTGAGCTGTCGATTCAACAGTTTGCCTATCTCCTTTTGTAGCAAGTGAAAAGGACTCTCCTTTGGTTAAAGTTGGAGTCAGTTTGTTGACACTGCATAGTTTTTTTGGATTGTACCGTCCGTTCCTGATCCCAGATAGGTACATACATACTGTATTTTCGGTTTCATACACCGTGGTCCACTTGAGTGTTCAGACTCAAATTAGGCAACGCCAAGTTGGATATGTCATCTCAATTTTTAAGTCTGCCAAGATATTGCACTGTCTACTTTATTTGTCATTTAATTTCTAGAACCAAATAGCAGCTGTTGTTGTATTCTCTTGGGTCAACTCAAGTCCTCCTATGCTTCTGTTAGATAGATGGTAGGTAAATTCTTGGATTATTATATTTCTTTAAGCCTGTGTTGGTCTTCACAAAGATTTGTTACTTGACTTTTCAAACACTACAGGGAAGAAGAACTATTCACCTCTTCCTAGAGTGTGTTATGGCTAAAACAGATGAATGCACTGGACATCCAGAAGATCATGCACCAGTTGATTGGCAGCTCTGAGGATGGCTTCTGAATGTTGGGCAGTTTGAAGACCTACTGAAGACATTTTGCTGCCAAGGCATGCGCTCTTGCATTGCCTTTTTGGCTGCCGATTTGGTGTTGCTGGGAGAAGTAAGAGTGTTGGCTGCCTTGGTGGAAATATGTAGCCAAAACATGCGATCTCTTCTTGTGTGAATCATAAATATATCCCAGTGATGCTTAATGACTTGACATATATGCCTTTTAGTTATTTGATTTGTCCGGTTATTTGTTTGATCAAGCTTTTGTTGATGTGAATTACAATACTGCGTAATTTTTTTGACACTGTCCATTCAATTTTTAGAATGGACATTCAATAGTATAGACAATACAAATCTTGACATTCAATAGTACAGGATGTTTAAAGACTTGGAATGCACCAAGGTAAATTAGGGCTCCTGATTTGAATTAAGTATATTATTCCTCATCTGAAGGGCGGGCCTGGTCCAAGCGGTAGAGTCTTACTGCCTGTGACCGGAAGGTCCCGGGTTTGAGTCACGGTCTCCTCGCATTGCACAGGCGAGGGTAAGGCTTAGACCTCGCACAAAGCGGGAGCTCTTTGCACTGGGTACGCCCCTCTCCTTTTTTTATATTATTCCTCATCTACTTCTACTTTTTGTTTCTTTCGGAGGAATTCAGAGATACTGTCGCTGCTCCAAGAAAAATAACATTGTGATCCAATAGTTAATTCAGAGATATTGTCACTGCTCCATGAAAAAAAATGCAGATGACATAGATGGGTAACTAACTCAGAGTCACCGTCGCTTGCAATAACCATACCTATGATTTAACTATTTCTATATATTGTAGATAGTGAATCTTGCCACAAACACTCGCGTGGATACCTTATTCTACAGTATAAGCAACATATATTTATACGGTGAGTATAACATACTTTGTTTTAAGGTTTTGTGAGAGATTTTTCAGGACACGCAGTATTACCCATGTGACAAGCACTAAAATTTACATATATACTTGAACATGTGTACATGATGGTATGGAGACGCTGCGGAACTTATTCGTGGATTTATTGGCGTATGAAAGAAATGGATATTAGAGATTTCTTCCTGCCTAAATAAAACATTATCTTAGCTGCATCACGAAAAGGTCTATAATTTTATAAACTTTGTTTTTTGGATTAAATATTACTTTAACGTCGTTATTTAATTTCACAATATTGTTATCTTATCGTGTAATCCATGCCATTTACTATAAAAGTTTAACTGTCCCGTAGCAACGCACGGGCACGAACCTAGTATAGTGATAAATCTAACATTTTTTGGCATGTAACAGGGGCACACTATATATATATATATATATATATATATATATATATATATTTCCTTGTTAGTGATCATTTTGAGTCATTTCCATCTCTTATTCTTCTAATTCTTTTGTTATTTGCCGATCGTGATCGAATTTAAATTATATCAACTGCGAAAGTGCCAAGTGTGATGACTGATGAACATTATTATTTGGATGATGTTCATCATCACACTATATATTGTGAAGCACAGTACAAGTAGGCTAACGCGTGAGTCGTCACTGACTCCATCGAGTGCAGTCACGAACACCACTAGTAGTTGAGTTTCCACCTTTAATTGAGATAATTATTTACTTCAGAGAACTCCCCAACCACCGGGCTAGCTATATAGACTTCGTTCACGCCTTTTCTTTTCTATGCCTTTTTACAAAGTGGTTGGCGACTACTGAAAGACCAAGCTTTTAATTAATTTCTGGCTGGCGCTCTTCCACCAACAAAGTACTATAAGAGCAAGGTGGTTTTCGAAAAAAATAAGAGCAATGTCAATAATAGAGCCAAGTGTATAGCTATAAATCAAGTTATAAGAGCTAATTTATATAATAGTTAGCCTTCTATTTGTCTATGATTTTTTTTATTCTTATATGTTTTCATTCTCTTAATTTTATATTCCTCCTCACATATATTTCTATTGGGACCCACTACTGTCTGTGCCTCCGTGCTTGCTTGCATTAGAGCTGATCTCTCTTCTTTCTCTTTCTTTCTCTCATCCACGTAAGCAAATATGCTGATTGGCCTGGCTATAAGACAATTATTGTAGTTACTCAAATACTTTCCTGTTATATCAGCGCATATGTACTATAAATCTTAGTTCTCTTAACTTGTCCTTTCGAATGCTGTCAAGCTCACATAGGTAAAGACCACTAGACTACCACTCATGACAAACTTTGGAAACGTTACCTTTATTTTTTTAAAGGCTATTCAAAAGGACCTCTGTCTCTAAAATATGTCATGGGTCTAAAAGCCACGATCCACCTCTAGAAAATTGATTTTAGAGAATCAGCTTAAGAGCAGAAATAGTTTTTGAAAATAGACTTAGTTTCGGAGCGTTCCTGTTATAAATACAGTTTTTAGAAACTACTTTCTTAAATGGGCACCTCAGAGAATAGCTATTTTTCACATTGGTTCTCTTAAGCGACTACATCTGAAGTTCATTTCTAGACACGGTTGCTTAAGTAGACCACCTCTAAATTAAAAATAGTTGCCACACAAATAAATCCATAACTTTCATATAAGGTTAGGAAAAAACACACTTTATATCAAAATTGTAGAGCTCACCAAAAGATGTATAGTTCTCAAGATTTTCATTTGAGATCCTTTAGAGACCCAATTATTCGTTATAAGTTCTCAGATTTTGAAATTCTATTTTTTTAATTTTTTTGAAATGACATTTACAAAAAAATTGCAGTCCTCACAAGATCTACAACTTTATAGTTGATCTTTTTTCCTTTTAAGTTTTTTTGAGTACCAAATACATCATATATAGTTCATGAAGCTGAATCAAAAGAATGGCATCCCTTTTGTTTTAACAAAGTAATTAATGTGTATGTGAGATGGTAAAGAGACTACAGGCAGATAGAAATAGGTATTAGGTTCAAAATCATACGAAACACAGATATATTTTGAACAAATTATTTTTTGCATTTTTTATCGGTTCTTCTAGAAATCGTTTCTTGGAGATAGTTAGAAAGGACGGTCAGACTGCCTCTAGAAATCATTTCCAAACGCGTTGCTTGCTCACTTCCGAAAACTACCCATCTTCAAATGTCTTTGGCCAAAGGCGGACAAAAAAACCACCTCTAAAAATACATTCTCCACCTCTAAAAAGGACATTTGTAGTGATGATGAAATCATCCTGTTTTAAATAAAAGGATATGTTTGGCAAAGTGTACAAAATGTACTTTAAACGTACTATTGATTTTTCTTAACAATGAATCATCAATTGCTACAAAATAAATATTGTATTAAAAGAATTGTGTATGAATCTATTTACGTTACTACATCACAAAGTATGCATATAATTTGGTTAATAACTACAGTATTAATAAAAGGTTATGGTGTTTGACCTTTTCAAATACTAATAGGTATACTATAAGGCCTCGTATGGATCCTTGGAATTGAAATCCATTGTAATAATCATAATTTAGACACAAAGCAATTAAGCTAATAATATGGTTGTATGCAGAATATATCTGTATGCTGCATTTTCACCGTAGGGTAGCGAACCAAAGAGTATGCTACAAGTTACAAGGTTGAAACGTAGCATGATGACCTATAGAATCAATTTTCATCTCTTATCCTATAAATTTAAAGATAGGCTTATATCTGAACTTTGAAAAGTGGTGAAATGTCAAATTCTAAAACTAAATAGCCTAGTCCATTAAGTAGATTACAATCATTCGAAATGAAAGGGTCGAAATGGCCCCTAAAGGAAAATGGTTGGAGTAACTTTGCAATCTGTTTTAGCTAAAAAATTATAGAAGTACAGTGATACGGTGATGTTAGTTTTGAGGAAAAATGCAAACATATTTGTTGCATGGCCAAAAACCCATAAAAAATTTATGACGGAATG